CAATGCTTGCTTACTTCTCCAGAGCGGGTTGGGAGCCCTGGTGGAAAAGCTGGGCTTTTTGATGAGTCTCCCCTCCACCCTAACTCTCTCCGGCCTCCCATTCAACAGGCCACATTTGGCGTCCTTGATAGGCGAAAGGAGCCACGTGGACTGTGAGAATCGGGGGAATAAAATACAGACTTACCCGTGAAAAACGATGAGGAACTACTCCCGGGAACTTGGGGAAATAATTCAGCAGAAACAAAATGAGGATGTTCACTGTAGGACTATCTATAGTGAAACCAGGAGGCACCATCAATGTTTCCAAGTTAATGTTTGTTTTAATAATGTTCTGTTCATCAGCATGAGGGAATGAATGACTAACACTCTGCGAAAGAGCAGAATATAAAGTAGTGTGAAACAACTAAAATGTGCGAAGTGAAGGACAACGCGGCCCGTTCGCAGGGCCTGGAGCGCGCTCTTGCAGTGAGAGGCAACTGTTAATGTTGGGCTGGTGCAGGTGTAGGATAATTTTTCTTTCATTCCTTTAAAAAAATTTTTTTTATTTGAACTTCTAGTCCAAATTCTTGGGAAAAGGACATTATCTGTCAGCAAGGACATGCCCTAGTTTTAGGAACTATGTATTGAAGTTAAAGGATCTGTTAACTATTTTATTTAACACTTTCTTCACCATCTACTTCCTGAGAGCCTACTATGTGCTAGCCAGTGCCATGCACTGAGAATACAGCCTGAGCAATTTATTCTTGACCCCTGGCCACGTGGGGCTTTGGTCAGTTACGCAAATAGCACTAGCTGCCATTTTCTTAGCAGTTACTGTGTGTCAACCGCTATGCCGAGTGCTTAACTGTTATTTCTTCATTCAGTCATCACAGCAGTCCTGTGTGTTCTCATATCCATTTCACAGAATACAAAAGTAAGATTAAGAGAGGCCGAATAACCTGCCCTAGACCATACATTCAAGATTCAGGCTCAGAAATGTCTACTCTCAGTTCTGCTCCTGTGCACTCAGCCTCCCTAAACTGTTCGTCCTCACAGCGACCAGGCATCTGGTCTACCTCCTGGGTGCAGAGGAAAGGACTTATTCTGTGTCCTTCCTGCCCTAGAAAGAACAGTTTGTCTCTTTAATGTAATTGCTGCCCATTTTTGACTAGAATCAAAAAGCAGGGCTGATAAGACAGCTCTAATTTTCCTCTTTCATTCTCTCTCCAATGTTTGGCGCCTTCTGCACAGTGAGGGCCCTCTCGGCTCCGAAAGCAGATTTGGAAACATGTTGAATGGGTCCCCTCGAGTCAGAGAAGACGGCATCAACCTGGACGCGTCGTTTGAGACTGATGTGTGTGCTTTAGGGAATAAATGGCCTGTGTTTGAAAGAAATCCTCAGCTGCAGGCGGCGGGAGCTCCTCCGTCAGTGCGGCTCCCAGCAGCATCACTTTTCAGGGGCAGATAAGGGACTAGGAAAAAAAAGAAAGAAAGAAAACGGGGATAATTTAGAGCCTCTGTCACTGTTTAGGAGCAGGTTAACTACTACAATTTTGTTCTAATAAATGTTAAAGATTTTGAAAATGTAAGAAGGGCTTCTCAGAATCCCAAAGTCCCTCTGAAAATAATAGAGAAAATCTGATGGTTGATTCCCATGTTATTAAAAAAAATAATAAAATGTATTTACTCATTAGCGAATTGTTAACTGATTTTCTTTCAAAGGCCAGCCAGGGAGCCCAGGATGCACCTGGGTGGGTGATTTCTCTAGAGTATTTGGTGAGATGAAGAAGGGTCAACATAGCAGGGTGTAGAATTGGAGATCTTAAAGTTATGGCCAAGAGTAACTGTCTGCTTTTACTTCGTCATTTCCGCTATACCTTCTCCCACTCACTGTCTTCTTAAAGATTCATTATACTTTGTTTTGGGGTCAAGCTTTCATTTCTCTCTCTATGTTGATAAGATCAATTAAGAAGCCTCATTGTGTTTCTCATCATTTACGAATTTCTACTTTTTTTCCTGCATCCTTTGGGTTACTTTTCCATTATGATAATCCTATATGCGCTGGCTCCTTCCCACCCATCACCGCACATGCACACCCCAGAGGTTAATGGAGTGTTTAACTGGTGACATACAAGATGAACCATGATTAATTCATTTATTAGGTGAAGGAAACGTTTTATGAGGCTAAACAGCAGAACTTAAGGAGCATTTGCACACCAAACTTTAAATACAACCTAATAAGAAAGCAATGTGTAAAATAATGGTCTCTGATATATATAGGTGATTTTTATATTTTCTAGTTTAATTTTATTTGAGTAGCCAACATGTTCGTGGATTTTTTAAATCAAATGATTGAAAAAGAATGAAAAGCTTAAAAGTCTTCTTCCCACTCCTCTTTCAGACCCCATCCTAATCCTTGCTTCCTACAGGTACTCAGTTTTTGTTTCTTATGAGTCTTCCCTGGGTGTCTATATAATAAAATAAACAAATGAAGATACACAGTTCTTACACAAACTTCAGTGTAGTAAATACTACTAAATACAACTTGAGTTACACTTACTCCGCCCCCGCCCCGCTCCCCTCTACCCCCCGCCGCCGCCTCACTTAACAATATGTCCTGGAGGTCTTTTCATATTAGTGCCCCGAAAGCGTCTCTGTTTGGCAGGTCGAGGTTGCTCCATGCTGTTCCAGTGCGTGGGTGCACCACAGCTTATTTGACAAATCCCTAATGGATGGATTTTTTTTTTTTTTTTGAGATGTTTCCAGTCCTTTGCCATTAAAATAATGCTGTGCTGACCTTTGTAATCATGTCCAGATATGGCTGCCAGAAAAATTTCCCAGAAGTAGGATTTCTGGGTCAGAGAGAAATGCATTCGCAATTGTGAATGGTAGTGCCACTTTGTCATTTATAAGAGTTGTACTTCTTTCCATTCCCAGCAACAGCATAGGGGAATGTCTCTTCGCCTGCCCACACTTAGGCCTACAAAGCGTGTTTTCACACTTTTGGAATTTGGACAACGCATGGATGTAAAAAATGGCATCTCAGTATAGTTAACTTTCTATTTCCTTCATGAATGAAGTTCAGAATATTTTCTTATGTTGAACAGCAAGCATTGTATTTCTTTACTGTAAACTGTCTTTTTGTGTCCTTTGGTCATTTTTCTACAAATTTGTTTGCTTTTTTCCTAGCTGTCATCTGTGATATAAGTTGCAAATAAATCTTCCCAGATAGTCATTCATTTTGTTTTCTTTATTTCATTTGATTTTATTTCATTTTCCTCGTACTGTTTTTGAGAAGATTTTAAAGTACAAGGTAGACCTTGCTTTGCATAGCATTGGGGAACTGTAAAAAATTACCACACAAAGCAATATTAATCAGTGGGGAAATCACAATTGTTTCATGACTTCAAAAATTTTGTCAACACATTGAAAACTCTCTTATTGTTATAAATATATACAGATATGAAAAATAAGAAAACTAATAATATTACCTAGTCCACTGTGGCATTAGAAACATTGAGAACTAAAATGCTTTATTCCTTTGTTAATATCTTATTAAGAGCAGTTTGAGCAATGCTTGCCCCTTCTTTATGTTGTATACTTTACGATACACTGTGAGCATCTTTTCTGTGCCTTTGGTGAAAGGTCATACCTCCTTCAAGGTTTGAATCAACTGCCAGTATTTTATTCTTTGATTTTCAATGTCATGGAATACCTTAAAGAGTTCTTATAATATGAAATTTTTCACTGGCATCTTTTCTCTGGGCCATCTTCATCCTTTTTGTTGTAATACTTTCCTCTTTATTTAGGTCAAGTTCACCTTGACTCTGGCTGCATTTGCCTCTCAAACGGGTGTGTGTCAACATTCCCATGGTCATCTATTTCTTCCATAAATCCATTAACATTGATTTCACTCAAATTTCACTCCCACTGTTACCACTCTTATTTGTTTCTGTATTTTTCTGTATTTTTTTTTTTTTTTGGCCAATTCCCTCTTTTAATTATCCTTTGTAAAATATCACACAAGCTTATCACTGGGAGGCAGGGAATACACTACACGCTTTGCTGTCTGTACATGAACTGAATAACAGATGTGCAGTGATCAGTCACCTGTACACTTGGAGAGCAGTGACATGATTGGTCATTGATCATGATGCATATCAATTATTCACGTAGAGATTTCTGAACTGAAGAGCTAGCTTAAAAGTTTATACCTTATGCCATTACTCACCTTTAACATACTCTGGTAACTGGAATTTGAATGTTTGTTTCGAAGGGCAGGTGTTATTAGCTAAACTGTAGTAACTTGAATTCATATATATCAGAAACATGCAAAGCAGGACCTGGCAGTATAGAAAAGTACAAATAATAAGATGACAAGCACTGACTGCCCACTCCCCTCCGAGCTTTGACAGTCATGAACATTCCTCTATATATGCTTTTAAGTGTTATTAATAAAGGAAGTAAGTCATTACAAATAAGCCGAAGTTCTTCTTTGCCCCCACCTCCTATTCTGTTCTCTTTGATAACCTCCCAGCTCACAAATCATCACAGATTAAAAGCATATCCTTTATACTCTCTCTCTCTCAACATTTCTATGGATGCATACAAAGATCTCAATGAGAAATATGTAGTATCTGGGGGTGTGCTTCCAGTTGCATTAGAATTGTTTTATTTTTATCATGCTTTCCTTTGCTTCTTATATTCTTCTTGAATTAATAAAAATATCTTGTGCATCTCCTTTTGTAACCCTAGTTTAGAAGTTGTTTTCTATTTCATCCTATTTCTACTCAATTACTTCAAAAGATAGGTATTTATAGAGAGAGAGATGACTGTTATAGACAGATATGTTAGTAGATGAATATTATAGAGTAATGATCTACTGTCATTAAGAATTCTGGGAATTTCCCTCTATCTCTCCACAGATATAGCCAATGTCTAGACACCCATGTGGGTTTTGTCATATTAGTAGAACTATTTTCCTGATACATTGAACAGCCATGTCCCTGTTTGTCTTCCAGGTTTATTCAGGAAATCGAGCATGCCTTGGGACTTGGCCCAGCAAAACAGTGTCCTCTTCGAGAGTTCCTCACTGTGTACATCAAAAACATCTTTCTCAATCAAGTTCTGGCCGAGATCAACAAGGAGATCGAAGGAGTCACGAAGACATCCGACCCCTTGAAGATCCTCGCTAATGCTGACACCATGAAGGTGCTGGGGGTGCAGCGCCCTCTCCTCCAGGTAATGACAGGCTTTGAGCTTACTCTCTGTCAACAGTTTTTATGGCCTTGGCAAGAGTCACAAATTACAAAAGAAGAAGAGCTACCATCTATTTGTATATTCATCAGGGACAAAAACAAGATTCGTAGGCATTAGAGACATTTAGGACTAATGTAGAAATCATGAAAATTCCTTAGGATATTTAAGGGAAAAAGTGGCTACCTTTGAACACAGTAGACAGTGGTCTCATTAACATGCAGGTGACTCTCATTCTTTTCCTGGAATTTGCCCTTGAAAAGACTTACTTACGGGAAGTCTCTCCCTGCCTCACCTCAGCCACCAGCAGGACCCTCTGTCCCCACCCAGGGCAGCATACAGTAAGTGAAGAACCTGGCTAGCTCCCGGTGGGCTGGAGCCTACCAGCACACTGGCTTTTCAAAGTCAGATCATTTAATTCAAGGGATGATCTTGTTAATACTGAAAATTTTACTTTAACTATATAAAGAAATGGTTTCTGAGCAACAGAAATGAAATAATTTCTCAGTAGACATGCGGAGTAATAGACTTGAGATATTTATTTTACATCCATTTTATCCAGCGACTTGAAGGCAAATATAAAACTAGAAGAAAATAGTAGGAGTTTAAATTATGGGTGTACATTAACTACTATTACCCTGTAATTGAATCTTTATGGTGTTTCTTCATTTAGGAGAAAAATGTTTCTTTTTTTTTTTACATAAGTTGCATGATACGAGGATATCTCAAAATATGGAAAGCTTGAGCTCTTCAGAGGAAAGTTGTATCAATGGAAGGCAGTTATAGCTGCTTCAGTTGCCTGCCCTTACCTGCCTTTATGTATGTCTTGATTTTCCTTCTGTGTACATTAGAATGAATGGCAATGCCGAATTTTTCATAGAGAAGTGCCCTAGATACAAGCATTCTTCTTTTATGAGCAAACTCTCCTATGGTTTCGAGAAATTCTGGGACTAGAGACACTTGCTTCTCCCAGACCTTGAATTAGAGCATCACGCCCAAAGAACAGGTTCATTTGGGCTGCTTCTGTGCCCAGCGAGGGGTCTTTGCTGAGTGTGGGGCGTAGAGGAGGGAGAGTGGCAAAGGCGTGCGCCCGCTGGGTTCTCGGCTGATCGCTCTGCCGCAGGCTCTTTGTGTGGCCGGGACCTTCTCCTCTTGAGTCTCGGTTCAAATGTGACCTGCACAGAGAAGCTTTTCCTGACTCTCCTCCCAAAGTAGGTCCCCTTCCCTGACTATTCTCCATTCTCCCCTCCCCCACTTGTCTCCCCAACCTGTTCTCAACACCAAAGTCGAACCCTGTGGACAATGTCGCCAAAGCTCCTTTGCTGGGTGACTGATGACCAGGTCCTCCCAATAGGAAGCACTATGAGCAGATGGGAGGGGGAAGGGGGTTGAGAGGAGAAAAGGTTGGGTTCATTCTTATCTCCTTCCTCCTCGCTTTGGATCATGGTACTGGCCGGGGGCGCACCCCACCCCCAAACAGCCCTGCCTGGGGACGTTGCTCTATAGCCCTGGCCACCTCGTTTCTTCTCCTTGCCCCTTGATTACAACTTTCTGCTATTACTAGTTACTGGAGCCCCCTTGCCTCTTGTTGCTTCTTTCAGTGCTGCTGGTGTATCTGTAAGTATCTCCTCTGTAAGGTTTCTTCATTGGAATCATCTGCCTGAAATTCTCTTTTTTGTCAGGATCCCAAATACAGCTTCCCAGTGAGTCACTGTTTTAACATTTTGATTTTTTTTTTTCCTTTCTTAACACAATAGTAATTATTAGTTAATTTATTTTCTAACTTGTTTATTTTATTTATTTATTTATTTATTGGTCTCTTCTCACTGGAATGTAAGTTCCGAAAGCATCATACAGCACCAGGCAGCAGGAAAGTACTCAATAAGAAATTTTTGGAATGAACACACAGAAGCATGGATAGTTGTAGGAGGCGTGGATAGACACAGCAAATGAGCTTTGAGAGTCACAAATAACTGCAGAGTCGGGGGGGAGATAAGGAATGGTCTTTGACACCAGTTTGTTTACATTTGGCATTGTGTGACCATATCATTAACTTACTCTCTATCAGAAAACTTTCCAGCATTTATGTCCTTGAAGTGTCGTGCTATATAGTGTTGTACAGAGCAACTCGAATGTACTTGGTGCACTGAATTTAAAAGACAGCAATGTACGACAAGTGAATCTGTGAGCTAAAGATGCTGGCTTATTAAATGTGGTAATTTTCAGCTCGAGTAGCAAAGACACATTAAAATGTATAACTAATTGACTACAATCTGGGCCACGTCGGGGACACACTCTAAATTATTGTACATCTCTAGGCAGTCTGCCCATGTGTTTGTCACTCCCAACCTCGTCACCAGCCATTTGTTCCTGTCATTTGTACCTTTTTTTGTTTTTGTTTTTGTTTTTCCCTCTTGTTTTTTAAATCAGTTACTCCGTGTTGAGACTAGAGAAGAATCCCAACTTGACCTGTTCTCTCTTTGACCTTGTCAAGTTACGATAATTCCATATAAGTGAATGACTCTTGCAACTAAGGCCATTCAAGTTATTGATTTCCAAATTTGTTTTCAGAGCCAAAACACCTACTTTCTTATTTCGTTATTTTGTTGCCCTCTCTTTCTTCATAAAATTTTTATTTTATGAGAATTCAAAATAGTTAGACCATATCAATACATTTGTTAAATATTCACAGATTTATGAGATTTAAAACTAAAGTGAAGGCTATTTTCCTTTCCAGTCTTGAGCATTTCCCTTGCTTTCTAATGACCGTGAATTGTTTTCTAACATAATTTCCCATGCTCAAGTTTCAATGTTTCGCATGTATTTCTCTGTTACCTTGATATTGTTATCCCCAGCTAATTGTATGTGACTAATCTGAAGAAAAAGAAACAATTCTGAAAAATTTAAGCTCAGTTTCCCAAAGAACTGTTAAGAAGGGAGCTTGGAGAAATACATGTGTGCATGAAAGATGCAGTACTCAATTACATGAAGTATTAAAACGGCCTTTAAAGCCATTTCCTCTGCTAAACCGCTGCTGGGCTGCAGAGTGGAAGAGGGTGGCGCCCTCCCCTGAGGTGGCACTGGGTGTCACGTAGCATCAGCCCAACTGGATCCTCCAGGGAAGTGGAAGGACAGCTGTCTCGCTGCTGCTGTCATTCGTGGGAAGGTGCACATGTGCAGAAAACCCCAGGATGCTTTGTCCTGCTCTCTCTGAAATGGCATCTGCGCAGTACGGAGAGTCGGTGATGAGGGGCAGTTTCCATGGGTGGTACTGTACTTTTGCATCGGTAATGTCACTTCCTCGGCACAGACTTCATAGAAGGGAAGGAAGTCAACAGAAGGGAAGAAATGACAAGCACCATTTCATAGGTGAAACCGCTGTTCAAGTGCTGGCCCCAAATGACACAGCAGCATAGTACTTGTAGTAATAGAAGTAGTAATAATAGTCATAATAGCATTCATAGTGGTAGGTAGTAGCATTGATTGCAGCTAACACTTTAATAGCATTTACAAGGAGCCAGGCACTGTTCTGAATGCTTTATATGTTTTGACTTTTGTTTTACATATTGGCAACAGCTTTGTGGGGGTGGAAACTGAAATTAAATAACCTGCCCTGGGTCACAGAGCTCGCAGGTACCAGCGCAGTAACACAAACCCAGGCACCTGGGCCCGGGGTCCGGCTCTTCTCAAAGCCTTACCTGAGCAGTAAGCTTGTCTGCAAGCTCTTTGTTCCCATTCTGTAAGGAGATGCGCAGAATTTGGAAGGAAGCATTGAGCCCCCCACCTTTTAAAGCAATTGGACATTATCTGCTGAACTTAAGAATAAAAAATTGGGATTTGTATTTTGTATATCTTTGTGGTTTCAAATGTTTTTGTCTAGTAAGTCATTTCTGTGGTATTTTATAAAAGTATCAATCTACAGCAGCTTGGAGGCGGGGAATCTGAGCGCTCGCCATAGTTAGGGACAACTGTGTCCCTGATTTCCTTTATTGTCTCACAGAGACGTGAAAGCGTAGAGCCACCCATCTCTGGCCTCCGTGCCCAAAGCATTTCCAACAGATGGAGTAGTTCGGATATTTGTTGCAGGTGGTTCTCTCCCAAATCCCCAGGTCCCAGAACAGCATGTGCTATATAGATTTCCACGCTATTAAATAAGCGGGTGAGTGGATGGAAATGAATGAATGGCTTCCTTAGTACAAGGACACGTGTGTGCTCGGGGCACAAGATTCACGGTCTTGGGTTTAAGATTCCTGACAATGCTTAAATTCAGATGTCACCATTCTTATGCCCTAATGCTATCAGCATGAAGGCGGGACAGAATATACCTCATTGTCTTACCATCTGAGATTCCACTTTTTTTCTTAAATGACTTCCACATGTTGCAAGGCAAAGCGTTCCAGTTCAAAATAAGGAAGTCTCTAAGAGAAATTCCTCGTTTCTCCTGAGTCGGGTCTTCTGGCGTTCAGATGTGGAGCTATAGAAACAGTCAACCAAAGTGGGTACCTTCTCGTGCCTTGCACGTCTGCAGGAGCCTACAAATTCTCACTCCCTAGACACAGGATTTTGGGAGTGTCATTTAATTTATTCCTTTTTTAGTATCTCCATCCAAAACAAAATGGCAGAGGGCTAATGCTTAAGATTTGTATCTTTGACCTGTCAAACTTCTGAATGGGCATCTACATACTTGAACAAAGGTACAAGTAAAAATATTTCCTGCCCCCTTATGGACTATGCTTTACACTTACCACTTTGAGAGTGGTCTGTGGACAAGAACGTCAGACCTCTGAGTCAGAATCTGCATTTGTGCGGCATTGCCAGCCAGTTTGCAAGCACAGGAACTCCAAGGTACCCGTGTGCTGCCTTGTACCAGCACAGCGCAGGCTGTGGTCCACGGACCGTCAGCACCTGAGCTCGGGAGAGATGCAGTTCCTGGAACTCACTCCGCTCTGGGCGAGCGCCCAGGAACCTTTGCTCTAACCAGCCCC